CACATGTTGAGAACCGCTGCTCAAAACCATTCATTGCAATTAACGCTCTATAAAAACGACAATATCTTTATTCCAGAGATGGTTTGAATATTCAAAATGAACAATAGGCAAGTCTTTTTTTCCACACTAACTTTGCGATCTTGTTGATTTTGTTGGAAAAATATTTAAGGTAACAAAAAAACCATTTTTGAAATAAGTCGCCTTCTCCGCAACCAATTTTCAGCGCGCCTATAAACTACCGTTCGAGTTTTGAATGATGACGAATTATTATTTTGGAAATTTTTTATTAATATATGATTGAAGTTAAAACAAGCATTTTCAAAGTTGATTGGGGTTACAAAAAGAATAGGTTGAATATAAAATAAGAACGATAATAACATGCACACATGTTATTACAGATGTGTGAATTCACAATTTTACCACATAACTGAAGTTTAATGACAATTAATTAATTCATAAACTAGATGTTCCTGACTTTATAGATTTTGATTGTAATACATTTGATGATAATACTTCAGATCGTGAGTAAAATTTGGCACGAACTCTGCAGCCTCTGCATTTAATTGGTTATTTGGTATGTTGCCATCATTTCCAAAATTTTCGTTAGATCTGTCATGACTGATATTCTTAACAAATAACCCCATGCTTTCTGACACAAACTGTCCTTCTCTGTTCAAATATTGATGGGAGGATTGGATCGATGGTAGGGGATCAGGGCAGGAATAGTTTTCACGGTAGAGCCGAGCTTCTTCATGCGTCATTTTTTGAAAACATTTTTCGCTTCCATTTGTACTGTTGACTTTTCCAATAAACTGATAATACTTTGTGTTTTCACAACCACCCGCTTGGAAACAGAAATACAATCTATTGCCCCCAGGCCCTGTGTTAGTACGGTCAATGTTGTACCTTGGTAAGTCATAGATGTACCCATTACTCTTTTCTGTGAAAGTATTTATTTTAATGAATTTGTTGAAAACTGGTGTTGGAAAAAGAATAAGATGAATAAGAAGAAAAAACGGTGAAAACATGAACACATAACAAAATTTGGTAACTTGGAATCACGTGTTAAGCTTTCCTCACGTGATTGCAAGTTACAAAATTCTGACAAAATGTTTCGACAAAGACACATTTTTTCCGGTTCACCCACCAAACAGTAATTCTAAACATTAGACAAATTAAGTATGAAGATATAAAAAATAAAATAATAAACTAACCATTTGCACTGGCCATCTTTCAAGCGAACCTTCCTTCAATTGATGAACAAATGAAATAATTATTAACGCAAAATAAGCAAATGAAGTCAAGAGATGTTTAACAAGCAAGTGCCGAACTATTTATAGAACGTTTTACAGCCATAGAATGTTACAGAATGCTTTACAACCATTGATTATATTAATTTTTACAACCAATAATTGATTAATAAAAATCTAAAATAAATTTATCCAGGAGCATTCACTGTAATTAGGAAGGCAGTCCCTCCACTTTAAGTTCGGGGTTTGTCATAAAAAACTGGTTGAGATTCTTAATTTTGATAGTTTTTAATATAACAAAATGACGTTTATGGGTTAGTAATTTTAATAATTTAGAAATTCTGAATGAATTATAAAGTTGACCCAAACGGGGTTGCCCTTAACATTTGAGGGTAGATTGACGCACCTGCTTCTTAAAAGTCGAAATTTTTCAAGTTTTAGATAAAAATTATACAATTAACAGATTGGATGTATTATTCATAAAATTATATTTTGAAATTATAATTTTTATTCTGAAAAACTGTGCGATCAAGTACCTTAACTGTTAATCCCCAACAATAAATAGCATTTGTTCGAAACCCTTGAAAATTAAAATGCTTTTGAATGTAAAAAAAAAAAGTTGTAATTAGTTATTTTCTTGAAATTGACATTTAATTTACTTTGTTTTATTTTCTTCATGTTACAACTTTTGCGTTCCTAAGTAGCTACACACGTCTAACATGCTTTTTCAATCTTCACTGAAATAAAATTACGTTCAGATTTTTAATATCTTCAGTGAAGGAAAGATGTAACAAGTTGTTAGGCATTGGACGGTGATAGTTTCGAGCGATGTAGTTCATGTGTGGTAGGAAATTCTTATGGGATTGATATGTACTTGCGATCGTCAATTTAAATGATGAGTTTGCCGGTGAAGGTCGTTAATGCATACCTATGCTTTTTATAGATTTTAAAAAGATATATGTATGTGTCGTTTATGCATTTACATTACATTACCTCAAATTTTCATGCTTGCAGCTAACAATTTTATACTCTGCATTTCAATCTGGAATGTGTTACGGAAAATTAACATTTGAAGAGTTTTTTTTAATAACAAGCTCTGGTAGCAAGATATAAGTTGGACAAAAACTTAAACGTTAAATTCATCCTTTGCGAATAAAAATTAAAAAATTGTTCATTTTGATGTAAGTTATCAGATGACTTGGCTTAATGGTTAGGTTGCTTGGCACTGCTATTGTCGTGTCCCCGCCAATAGCACACAATAGATCTGATGTCTTAATTTACGTAGATTTATACTTACAATACAGTGTGTGTGTGTTGTTGATGTTTTTAATAAAGATAAATAATTTATCAAAATTTAAATTTGCTATTTATGAATTGAAATATGACACACTATGATTTCAAAATTTTATTTAAAAAAGTGAATTCTTTCATCTGGAAGTCTGTTCAAATGATTTGCTCTGTATGTTCTGTTTAATAATCGTAATTGATTTTATAAAAATGTTTTTATGTCAATGAATCAACACACATACATACACAGACTATGACACATGCGAGCACGCAGGCACGCACAACCTTATTAAATTATAATTTGTAACTGACACGATTAAATTACACGTCTTCGCCAATTTAATAAGACTACAAAACTGACGATTTTTGTTAAGAATTTCTTACAATATATTGTTATATACTAATAAAGATTATTAAAACCACAATAGATCAGCTCGTATTTAATTATTTTATTATAAATATTTATAATTACTCTAACTAACCTATCAATAAAGTTGTGTAAGTCAGCAATTTAAATCGTCACAAGCATTTTGTAACCTAGTTCCCTAACTTCAGATGTAGATAATAGCACCGTGTAATACAGCGCCAATATAACGGCATGATATGCGTAAAAACAACATAACACAACCAGGACATCGAACCGTAATTTTTTTTCGTTTCCGTTTACGGTTCAATCAGCAAAACAAATTTTGGTTTGGTTCTGGTTTTCGTTCCTGAAATAATATCGGTTTTTTGGTTTTCAGTTTTTCTCCGAAACTTAGGTATTTTAAGCATAGTTCCTTAAAAGCCTAAAACAAACATTCAACGATCACCACAATGTCAATTTGATTTAAACATTAGATTGTGAATAATGAGAAATCAATAACAAAAATGATTTTTAAATGTTGTCAGTATAAAAGGAAACGTTTCTAATTTTTTTTTCAACAAATTAAAACAATCATCACAAAGATATTTTGAAATCACTCATATAAATGTATGATTGTTTCAAAAAAGATGAAAATTTCCTCTGATTATTAATATATCTTCTAAAATGTTTTCATTGAAACCATTTCTGCAGTCTCTGAGGATAAATTTTAATCCAGAATCAGATGCTTCCAGTCTCACTTGTGTAGCTGGTACTTCAAAATTTTGAAGATGATCGCACTTAATCTCTAATTTCTCCGATTATACTAGATTTCTCTTCAAGTGGCAATTATTACTCAAATTTTCGGCGAACTCAGTCGGAAAAACAAACAAAAAGAGAAATAACAAATTTTCAAAGTTAATAAAAGTTACATAGAATTTTAAAACACGAATATTATCTAAATATTTTTTTTCTGAATTTGACACAAATATTTTCTTTAAATTTTTAGCATCGAACAGTTATTTAGAGTAGCAAACAATATTTCGGTTTGGTTACGGTTTTCGTTCCGAGCAAAATTTCGGTTTTTAACGGTTTACGGTTACGGTTCAGTTCCGATTCGATGCCCTGAACACAACAACCTACATATCACGGTATAGAACACACGCAATCTACATAATAATATATTGGATATCATGATGATAAAACAGAATTTATTATATTGTTTCTAATAATTTTAAGTCTAAATTAAATTGACAAGCGATGAATTAAAACTAATATAACTTTTACTGTAGAAATTTTGAAAGTGTTTATTTAAAGTTAAAAGTGGTCGTAATAATAACAGAAAACATATTTAGAGTGGCGGATCCAGAATTTCACGAAGGGTGGAAGGTGATTTAGAAAAACTCCAAAATTGATGACATTTTAAATTTCGTTTTATCATTTAGTTTACTATTTTTTGGCGTAATATATTTCCCAGAATCTTCAATATTTTCTTTTTCCATATTCTGGGAGGAATTCGTTTCCACGTTTCGGAAACTTTGAAAGTATTAATCATCAGTCTTCAAAACCAAAGCTCGCTTCTTCATTTCATTTGCAGAACTTACATTGCTTGTAGTTGTTAAAATTTTAAAGTTCTATTCTAAAATTTTGATCCACTTAATTGGATTTATTATAAACCAATACAAAAACTTGTATTGCATTTTGATATTCAAGAATGGATGAATAGAAATGTTTTGCAAACACATTCAGGCAAACAGTTAAATTATAATCATTCATTACGTTGAAAATTCGTGATCAAATTAATGTTGACCGAAAGACCATCCTTAAAAATGCATAAGTAACATAAAAACTTCTGCAAACTACAGCGCGGGTTGTTCGAAACTTTTGGCTGTCATAGATATACAAATTTTAAAATGTTAAAAATCAATAAACTGTAAAACAACTAGTTTTCATAAAAATTCATTCAAATTCAAAAACAATCATATGTGAATTGCATTAGAAACGGCTGTTAGTGCTGTTGTTAGTTTTAATATTATTTTTATTAAAACTCATTTATAAAACAAAAACATAAGAAAAAATTAATCCACTTCATCAAACAATGTATTTATATCCTCCAAAAATTATTTATGGGTCTTCTTATGATAACGAAAACAATTAGGATCACCAAAAGACCTTCCACACACACCACAACTGTAAGGCTTTTCACCGGTATGTATCCTAATGTGTCTCTTTAAATCATAAGATTTAGTAAACGATTTAACACAGACATCGCATTTATAAGGTTTCTCCCCAGAATGCATCCTCAAGTGAACAATTAAACTAGCATTCTGAGAGAACAATTGACCACAGACATTACATTTATAAGGTTTTTCTCCTGTATGGGTCCTAATGTGTTCCTTTAAGTAATCAGACCGAGTGAACGATTTGCAGCATGTGTCGCAATTGTATGGTTTCACTCCAGAGTGAATTTTGTTATGCGTCTTTAAGGCACACTTACTTGAGAAGGACTTATTGCAAGCATCACACTGAAATTTTTTTTCAACCTTTGTTTGGTCGTTGAATTCATCGACACCAATATTCAATGTTCTGTTAGAATCTTTGTTCTTCTCATCATCATTATTTTTCATTTCATTTTCTTTGCTTGTGGCATTATCAATTTTCACTTCACCAGTACAAATAAAACCATTTTCATTATTTTTTTTCTTTTCTTTTTTGCTATTTTTACTATTTTTTGGAAAATAAAACAAAACCACCGGAACATTATTGTTGCTGGTTTTTTGTAGTTCTTGTAGTTGTTGCGTTGGCTGCTCTTGTAGTTGTTTATGGGTCTTCTTGTGGCGACGGAAAGGAGTAGGATCACTGAAAGACTTTCCACACGCACCACAACTGTACGGCTTTTCACCGGTATGTAACCTCATGTGTCTCTTTAAATCAGAAGATTTAGTAAACGATTTACCACAGACATTACATTTATATGGTTTCACTCCAGTGTGAATTTTGTGATGGCGCCATAAGTTTTTCTTACATGAGAAAAACTTATTGCAAACGTCACATTGAAATTTTCTTTCAATCTCCGTTTGGTCGTTGTATTTCTCAACACCATTATTCAATGTTTTGTTAGAATCTTTGTTTTTCTCATCATCTTTATTTTTCATTTCGTTTTCTCTGCTTGCGGAGTTATTAATTTTCACTGCTTCAGTTTTCTTTGTTTGTGTACAATTTTTAATTAATTCTTCTTCGACGTCATCTTGGGTAGAAACTTCAGCCGGATTATCATAATTGATCTCAGTGCTTCTGTCAAATGGCTTGAATTTCTTGATTTTGGCCCTTTGGTTCTGAAACCAGAATAATATTTGTCGATTACTCAGACCGGTTTCGAATGCAATTCGGTCCCTATCTCTGACATCGATATACTTTTTTTGACTAAATTCCCTTTCCAGAACTTCACGTATTTCATCACTGTAACGTTCACGGTAAAAATCATCAGTACGAATAATGCAATTTTCATTCTTTGTTTTCTTCTTTTTTTTGCTATTATCATCTTTACTATCTTCTCGAAGATTCAACAAAACCACCGGAACCTTTTTGTCACTGGTTTTCTTTAACTCCTGCAGTTGTTGCACTGGTTGATTCTGAGCATCCATTGATGGTACAATGATTAATGGACTCTAATCGTTTATTTGGTAAAGTAATTGCCAAGATCGAGTAATTCAAAGTTATTTTAAAATAAGTAGCGAGCTCAACGTTATTATAAACAATTTTTTTCCCGAAAACCGTCGGTGTTAATTAAGAAAATCTTTAAAAGAATGACAAAAGACTTCATGCGCTGTCTTATATACACTCCAAACCAAAGATCCTAGATTACTCTTTTGGTATAGGTTGATATCTAATGTTATTAATTATAGACAGTAAATTAATTAAAATCTATTAACCGTAAATTTATCACTTTACGATATTAAATAATTACGCGTATAGTAGCCTTAAATTGTTCTACAATAATTAGTTTTAATAATAATTTAAATTTTTACATGATAAATCAGTCCATAAAATCATCACTTCGATGTTTTACCAACTTTGCTCGTATTTTAGAGTCTTTGCTAGTTTTAATGTTGTAAAATTTTAATGAACTCTGTGTGAAGCTATAGAATTTAGTTTTTAATTGTACAATTTTTTAAAGAAATTTTCATAAATGAATTGATATTTTATTCTTTAATAAACCATTTATTTACCTTAAACATTTTAATTTTGAATAACGAATGCCAATGGATCTTTTAAATTTGGTTGAAATCAAATTTTTTCAAAAACTAGAAACTTTTTTAACATTTAGTTTTTTAATTTACTTGACCAAGACTGGTCACACACCTTAATAAGCATAAAGCAAAGTTCCACTTAGAACGCAACTTTTGACGTAACAAAGAAAGTATAAACCAATTTTGGTTTTTTACTTGTCTTCTATGTCTTGTCTTCTATGCCTTGTCTTCTATGTCTTGTCTTGTGTCATTAACATTCATTAACATTCGGTGAATGTTAATACTTGTCTGCAAATGAAGCATTGCTCAATCGGTCATGTAATATTTTACTTCAATCGATCAGCTAGAATTTAGTAAATTTTTCTTATAAAATATTTAAGCATTGTAATGAAGAAAGCATTGTTATCATTCAAATAATAAGTATGATGATGAATACTATTAGGACGATGGCAATATAAAGCAAAACATAAAAAATGCATCTGATTATATTTAATGTGAGTGAAGATGATAATGAGAATGGTTATCATTGCAATGGTGATGATGACGATGACGTAATCATTTAAATTTTTGACTTCATTATTTTAACGAACATTCATCCATTGACGATGATGATGTTGCTGAATGTAATGAGGATAAAGACGAAGAAGAAAACGTTGAAACCCTTGTAATGATAAATAAGGAGGGGCCTATACTTTTCCGATGCTCCGTATTTTTCCTCACCAAGTTTCAATGTTTTGTTAAAATCTTTGTTCTTCTCATCATCTTCAATTTTCATTTTTTTTTGCTTGTGACATTATTATCACTTTTTACTGTCTTTTTGACAACATTCTGCTGAATTATTTTGTCTTTCAGTAGATTTTGATTCATTGTTTTATCATGAATTTTTTTCTTACTTATTTTTTGTGCTTGGGCCCTTCGGTATACAAACCAGTCTTTAATCTGGCAAATAGTCAGGCCGGTTTCATGCGCAAATCAATGCTTATCTATGTGATCGACATGATTTTTTTGACTTTAGTCTGATTATCATAATTAAGTTCAAATTTATTTCAAGAAACATTGTATAAAAATTCAAACCGACCTTTCCATTAAGCTTTTCGCTATTAAATAGCCTCACAATAAAACAGTAACACAATACTACTTTATTTTTTTCATGTTTTTCTGGAAAATAAAAGAGAGTTCTCATTTCTTCAAATGCCAACCTGTCCAGGCGGGAGAGGTGTACTACGGCACAATCCCGCTATGCAGTGCTCGTCAAAACATCAAGCACCTTTTGCCAAACTGCAACTCAATATCTGCGTTGATTATCAAAAATTTTAGAAAAAGTTGATGCCAAGTGCTGGCTCAGAAGTCTCCATTTTAGCGGATTCAGAGTAAGAAGAATTTTGACCATTTTCTTGCCTTTTCAAGTCAATACAACTTGACACCACGTTACTTGGTAAATATGCTATCAAGATTAAAAAGTGACCTTAAGCTATAAAGAACATTTCAAATCTCTACCTCCCATAAAACGGTCCTGAGAACGCATGGAGTCAGTAATGTAAAAAAATAATAATGAAGCCTTTTGATTAGTTCAGTAAGGGGAATGATCGTTACTAGATTGATAACCCTTGACCTCTTTTTGGACAAAATTTTTAACACTTGCTTTTTTCATAGTCTGGTAGAGAGATGCATCCCATATTCCCCAGGATCCGCGACAGGATATCATATTCCTAACAAGTCTTTCAGACATCACAGGTTTTTATTTCGCCACTGTGTGACTGTTGTTTCTTTTTCAATATTTTCAATTTTAATCTCTGGTCACAACAGTTGCTTGGCACTGTTGTTGTGACCGCGTTCGAACGCAGTGAGATCCCCGTCAATAACACGAAATAGATCTGGTGCCTTAATTCACGTGGATTTATACTTACAATACAGTGCCTGTTTGTTGTTGATGTTTCTGACAAAAACTAAAGATAGAATTTAAAAAAAATTAATTTTATCAAAATTTAAATTTACTATCTATAAATTTAAATATGAAACGTTAGGATTTCAAAATTTCATTTAAAAAATGAATTCTGTCATCTGGAAGTCTGTTCAAATGATTTGCTCTGTATGTTCTGTTTAATAATCGTAATTGATTTTATAAAAATGTTTTTATGTCAATGAATCAACACACATACATACACAGACTAAGACACATGCGAGCACGAAGACACGCACAACCTTATTAAATTATAATTTGTAACTGACACGATTAAATTATAATTGAAACGCAACTGGTTTTCCATAAGAGCTCAGACGAAAATGCGATTAATTATGCAAACACAAATTCGCATACCATTTAATTAAAACAGAACCCATTAATTAAAGCGCAAAGACATAAGCCCGATTAAACAACATGATAAAGAAATGCAGAATCAAACAAAGATTCTTTGTCCTTTGATGCCCTAACTGAAGTTAGCATCGTGTAATACAGCGTCAATATATGTGTTGAAACAATATAACACAACAATCTAGTCTTGAACACACGATATCTACATAATAATATATTTAATACCATGATGATAAAACAGAATTTAATTTTTTTTTTGTTTTTTGTTATTTTTTTCTTTAATTGTTACTGAAAATTTTAAGTCTTAACTAAATTGACAATGGATGAATTAAAACTATTATAACTTTTTATGTAGAAATTTTGAAAGTGTTTATAAAAAGTTTAAAGTTGTCGTAATAATAACAGAAAAGTGGCGGATCCAGAATTTCACGAATTTTAGAAAAATTCCAAAATTGATGACATTTCAAATTTCGTTTTGTCATTTAAATTATTAAATTATTTAATTAAACTTTATTTTTGGCGTAATATTTTCTTCTTTTATGTTATGGTAGGAATTATTTCCAGCATTTCCATGTCTATAATATAGACATGGAAAAGACATGGAAATGTTGGAAAGTCTATATGCATGTTTTGAATGTATTAATCATCAGTCTTCAAAACCGAAGATAATTTATTTTTTTTATTACCTTCAAATGCAGTTCATTATGAATCAAGTTGCTGAAAATGTAGATACTAAACTTATTAACCGAGTCAAAAGCTGGTGTTTATAATTAATCCCAATGGAACTTTTTATCATTCAACCCCAACTCACAACATATCATAAACCTTTTAACATTTACATAAGTTTTATTATAAGAACCCATCAGCAATACTAAACCATACTTATAGAAACGATTGTTTAAACAACTTCCAGTAAATGTTTTCGTGAAAAATCATATCAACATTCTAAATTACTAGTTATTAATTTGAGACATTTTAAATAAAAAAATCATTATTCGCTTTATATATTAAAATCCAGTAAATTACTTACCAACTTTATATTAAATTTTAAAATTGACTAAGAAAATTTGTTGATTGAAATTAATGATTGTAGAAAGTTAATAATATTCACCAGAGTTTTAATTTATTGCCATCCATGTAAGTGATATAAATTATTTTGCTAGTCGTGGTTGTTTGAGAATAATTTTGTTTGAAAAATGTTCTTCGTCTTATTGTCTTAAGAAAATTTAATGGCATTGTTTCGAAAAAATGTTCTATTGTTTGTAAGTATTCAGGTAACTATTAAAGGACAAATTTGCACTTTGTAATATTTCAGAAATTGTTTGTAACATTTTTGCAATTGTTAAAACATAACAACTTGTAACAACTTGCAAACAAAAAGAACAATAAAACATCCACCATTCTATTCCAATTCGTTTGACATACACCTGCATTACATTCACTCACGCTCACCTAACAAGTCACCGAGTTAGTCCAATCGGTAGAAGTGCCTTATCACACGCCGCTATTACGTGATGTCACGGTTCGAATACTGTCAGTCCGAAGCTCAAAGACCATCATACGTGTATGTATAATGCGGTGCTTGCGTGTGCATACATAATGTGTATGTGTGTGGTGTGGATAGTGTACAGTTGTACAGCCTATGTGGCATGAAAGTCCAGTTACATGTATGGAACAACATATAAGCAGTTTTTTCAAAAGTGAAAGTCAAATAGAATACAGACACGCACTTCCATGCCCAGTACAAAACAACGTACACAAACACATACCGAACAATGAAATTTTTCACCATAAGGCGTTTTCATTGTTTTGTTTGGTGAGTTATTTTCTTTGCTCAAGTTTTTATAAAAAGTAAAAGTCTTCATTGTATGCAGTTGTCTCTCTCTATTGCATACTAAACAAAAATTACGTAGAATGAAGATAATTTCGCCTTTAAGTATCTTCATAGAAAAAATAAAAATCGAAATAATTTTTTTTCTTATTTTTGTGTTGGATTCTCAATAAATAAATATCACTATCAACATGCTTGCTTGTTGGTAATTTTATGAAACATTTTGTTATACTTTAACAAACTTGTGGCAAGAAGTAATTTATTTACACAATTCTATAATATTTTGGAAGTAGATCCGTCATTTCTTTAAAATCTTGCTTTGAAGATGTTCAAGGGCAGTCCGGTTATACTCGTCCTCTCTCTTTCCTTAGGTAAATTATTTTTTTTATTTCAGTAATATCATTTGACTAATAAAATAAATAAACAAATACATTGAAAAACAATTAATTAAGTAATTTATCTATTTAATAATATAATTTTTGTTTTTCAGCGTTTTATGTTAATAACAAGGCCCAAAATTTGGCTTTTAACAAAACTGCAACCTGCAGCTCATTTTTTCGGCATCCTATTAACCCTGTTGTAAAATTGCTGGTTGATGGGAATCGAAATCCGGATTTTTGGGCTGGGCATTGTTTCCACGGAGGCGACCCAGCCGGCGGACCTAACTGGGCAGTGGTCGATCTTGCTGGTCTCTATTATGTGGACGTCGTCTACATGTTCACGAGGAACATGTTCAGTAGGTATTTTATGAGTTTTATTCATAATTATTTTTAATTTTAATTAAACATTTCGTAATAAGGTAGTTGTCTATGAAAAATTTAGTTGAAATTTGTTTGATTTCTCTAATTTAAATTACAAAAACGAAAATTATTTTCAGTAATCAGTTTTAGCACACATTGAAATCATAGACAAGATATATTATATATATATATATATAATATGTTGATATTATTTATATATATATATATAATATGTTGATATTATATATATATATATATATATATATATAATATGTTGATATTATATATATATATATATATATATATATATATATATATATATATATATAATATGTTGGATTAAGTCTGTCAGAAATGGAATTATTGATAAAAATTACAGCATGTTCGGCGTTAGTTAACTTCCTGTTTAACTTTTCGATTTTTCTAACTGTTGATTGTAAATCATTCTCCAGTTTCTTGAGTTTAAAACCAAAATTATTGTTTATTTCATGCATGATAGAACAAAAAAACGTTTTCGGTATTCCTATACTATTTTTGGTGTACGAATTGATACGTTATGTATGTAGCCAGATGCTCAAATGTATATAAACTATGCTCTACTCTATTTTGTTGATTCATTACTTGTTAAATCAATAAAATAGAGTAGAGATACAATATATCAATCAATCAGTCAGTCAGTCAGTCAGTCAGTCAGTCAGTCAGTCAGTCAGTCAGTCAGTCAGTCAGTCAGTCAGTCAGTCAGTCAGTCAGTCAGTCAGTCAGTCAGTCAGT